TCCAAAAGTTGATTCTGTTCATCTGGACGTAGCGTTTTGTGGGAGAAACGTTTCATCACTCATCCAAGTGACTTCTTCAGTCTCAGCTGACTGCAGGTTTCAATCTTATAAACAGGACATTTGCATGACTGAAACCAGCCCACTGAAGGAACAATGGGCTGAGTGCTCAGTTCCTTAATCATAATTATGCAAATTCTCATGACCATTGATCAACAACTACTGACCAAAACCCACTGATCAATGGCCATGAGTACCATTCACATAGAGTTGGGGAATGGCTGCAATCACAGCATTGTAAGATGGCCAAAGATGTAACCTTAGGCCCCCTCCTCGATTCAGAGATGGTTTTTATTCATGGAGCTGGACTGGAGCAGCAGGGATCGAACCAGCAACCTTCCCATGCCCTGCTTTGTTCCTAAGCTACAGCCACCCAATGCTGCAAGCCCCTTTCCCAATAAAAGTGCACCACTCTGACCTGTCTGTAGCACAAGTTAAATATAGTTATTTCAATAAAGTTAGCTCGACCCTGTTAGCCGTTAGCCTCTCTGTTTGCCACCGAGTTCGCTCATCGTGTGCGCAACTCCAGCAGCTCGGGAAGATCAGGCCTACCGGCACGGAGACCAGAAGAGTGTCCCGGTAAAATCCGGACTTTGCCCCCGGAACCCCAGGTCTCGGTTACGCCCCGAGGTGGACTCGAACTCGGCATTGATGATAGAGCCGGGTCTGATCAATAACACCCCCGCCTCCCTGACGTCTGTGCGACGTTCCCTCTCCCCGCTGTAAACCCTTAAATGAGCGGTAACTGAAACGATACCGCGCTGTCCGCAGCGACAGGGACCCGAACCATCGCCGGAAACGGTACTCACCATGTTTGCGATTCCGATGGCTCTGATTCACACCGGATTAAAAAAATTCTGACCCGCGGATATCCCGCCAGGCCGCCTTTAGCAGGAACTACAGGAAATGACGCACAGCCGACCGGAAACTGTGGCAACGCCGAAAAGATTCCCCCTGTGCGAGGAACAACAGGTTCCTGCGCGAAGACTGAAATTGTTAATCACGTTAATTAACGTTAACAAGTTCAAATAAAGTTTCACGTTCACCGCTCACGGATCGTTTGCATGTACGTGCTTTCTGACGTCATTAAAATAAAGAAATCTTCTGCAGTCAGCGAAGCAGCTTCACTGTGATACTGAATCACCAAACAGCTGGCTGCTGGTCTGAGATCAGCTAAATGATTTTACTACTGCAAATTTTGGTACCCGTGCTGGTACCAGGTGAACCCAGGGCCAGCACTGATGTAAGGAGAGCAGTGCGTCCTGATGTATGAGATCTAAGGCACTCAGCTCGGCTGCTGTAGTTTTAAATGTGCTAAATGATGTAAATAAATCAGTGCCCACAGACATGTTTTATGTTCTTTTTTTTCCATTCAAACCTTTATTTAAACCTTTTTTATTTTTATTTTATTGCTGTCTGGTTTTATTACTATGTGCATATTAGTATTGTACAGCACTTTGGTCTACCAGGTGTGTTTTTAAAGTGCTATATAAATAAATAAATAAATAAATAAATAAATAAATAAATAAATGATGATTTAAACCTCAGTACAATACAAAATAGAATTAAACAATACCATATTAATGGTGTTGTACTTACAAAAAAATTGCATACCATAGACAAACAAATAAAAGAACAATTTTCAGAACCTACAATATAAATATGTTAGGGGGAAAGTAACTGATCAAGCCAAAGAATAAAGTGATTGAAAGATCTTGATTTTTTCCACAAACACCAATAGTTTTTATAGCTTTTGGGTTAGTGGAGTTCTTAATTGAATTAAGATACTGTTCAAGTTCAAAGGAGAATACATAAAAAGAGGGATGTCTTCCTAAACACGTGGACTTGTGAATATGAAATTTAGCCATTAAAATTAACAAGTTAATCATATATCTGTTATCAAAGTTGAATTGTCTTTGGTTTTTGTGTAGACCAAATAAAACATATTTCCAAAACAGTACAAATCCTTTAAATATATTTTCTGAGATAAATTCACAAATTCTGCCAAAAATCTTGCACACGGTTACAAAACCAAAAAAGATGTATCGTATATTCCTTGGAAGTTTTACAAAAGCTACAGCTTGTATCAATGTCTAATTTGAATTTGCTTTGAAGAAAATCTTTAGAAGGATAAATTCTGTGTATTAATTTATAAGAAATATCTTTAATTTTGTTGGTAATTAAAAACTGATTAGGGAGTCTCCAAACTTTGTTCCACATAATACCATCTGACAGCCAGTTCCAGAAAAAAAATGACATATGGTAGCGTGGTTATGCTACTCTGAAATAAAGATCTGATAGATTTATTGTTGTCTTTAGTTTGCTTAGAAAAGCAAATCTTGCCAACAAAAGTTTGTATGGGAGATGTCAACGGCCTGTGGAATGAAGTGATATTAGGTTGATTCTTAAACAGCATACAAACCCCTGATGGTATTGAGCCAAATACTTTTGTATAATCATGACGATTTATAGCTAAATTAAACAAAATTCTTCATAGGAGAAAAGAGTACCATTTGAATCAAATAATTGGTTGACTAAAATAATGTTATTCCTAAACCAACTAAGTTTTTAGAGTGTTTAGAGATTAATCTGTAATCCTCTGTTATAACCCCATTTATCATTATTTTGCTAATATTGTTTATGCTTGAGTGTTTCTTTTCTAAACTGAAGAAATAATGGGAATTACGCTCACCTTCTTCAAGCCATTTAGATCTTGATCTGATAAAGGCTCCTTTTGCTTTGTCTGAGTATAAACGATCTAATTTATCTTGTAATTTAGCAAGGTTCAATTTATCCTCTTCAGTTAAAGTGTCAGTTTGTTTATTAGATATGTTTTATGTTCAGTGCATACATGAACTTACAGGACAGAAACACAGTATGAGTCCTGCCCCGACAGCATGGATCTCATGCCTCACTGCTCTCCACCACATCAGCTGCCTTAAACATACTGGCCTGGTACTTACTGTAGCGGCTCTTATACTGCCTTTACAGATTAGACAGGCTTCTTCTCTCTGTCTTTAAGTCACTTCTGAAAACCCATCTCTTCACCCTGGCCTTTGACACCTTGTGAAATGTTTTGTTTTGTTTATTTATATTAGTTTTTATTAGTTGATTCTATGCTGTTTAAAAAGGCTTTTTTATTTTAATTGTATGTATTATGTGTGTTTTTTTCTGTTTTGTTTAATTCTATTGTTCTTAACTTATTTACTGTACAGCATTTTGGTGCTGTGCTGGGTGCTTTATAAATAAAGTTGTATTGGATTGGTCTGTATTTACTTTTGATTGGGCAATCCTGAAGTTTCTGCTCTCTGATTGGTTTATTTTGGTGTTTAATATTTAAAATCACCGGCGTGTCATCCGTCCAATCCACGCTGAGCCTGTGAAGGCTGAAATGTGTGACAGGTAAATGAACCTGCGATCAGATTATCGATCAGTAGATCGATCCTGTTCGTCTCGTCCAGTTTCCCGTCATTCCGCTGCTGAACGGTTTCCATGGTAACCGTGACCGCGCCGCCGGACGCGCGCCGCCGCGATACGGAGGCGAGACGGTGAGTCACCGACAGAAAACAGCTCCGGTAACCGACGGAGCGACAACAGCAACCGACACACCGGGACGGGTTAGCACGTTAGCATGTTAGCATCCCGCTGCCGCGTGAGCCGGAGGCGCGAAACGGCTACGGACTGTCAATGAGGCTGATGACGGCAACTACCGCAGTGACATCACAGCAACAGACAGCAGCAACAGCATCGCCTACTGCAGGGCAGCGGCAACATCGCCCTACAGTCTGACTGCAGAGCAACTACACGAGAGCAACCGGAGACAGCAGCAACAAACTGACGGCAACTGTGCAGAATTAAACACGTCCTGATTTGTTTCTGCAGCAAACAGCAACTGATCCTACGCCAACATGTTGCTTAAACCTTCTGTCTTCAGCAGGGACTGCAGCAACTAAAACCTACAACATCTGCAGCAGCAGCAACTCCAGCAACCTGGAGTTTATCCAGTTGACATGTGAGCATCAACACGTTGCTTCAGCTTGGGAGACAGAGAGCAACTTCATGAAGAGCAACCAGTGACAGAGCTACGATTTCACTCACAGCAACGCAACCTACCACTACAGCAACTGCCAACAGCAGGTGAGCAACATGCGAGTGGGGGGGGGTGGGGGGGCATCTGATAATCAATAATCTGATCACAAATCAGTGAGCACAGATGTTCAGGCAGATGTTTGAAAACTATTACAGATCCTGATGACTGATTTTTAAAGCTGCAGCTGGTGCCTACCTGTAGTCATGGTAACAGGTAGCATGTACCTGTAGTAAGTGTGTTTGCAGAGCTCATCCTTAAACATCGATCCATCAGAACATCAAAGAGAATCAATAAACCTCAGCTTAAACTATAGGTGAGTCACATGGTTAATCTCAGTCAGGCAGGACAGGTGGTGACATCATCTGGCCATCCAGGTGAGGGAAAGATAAAAAAACAAACAAAAAAAAAAACTTGCCTGTCTGTGAGGAGGCGGAGCTTGAGCAGAACACTTCACCTGCTGTGAATACTGCTTTGTTATTGGTACAAACAAACACACCTGAGCAGAGTTCAGCGCAGATAGAAACAACAGAAGCTCCGGTCCAGCTTTTATTCTGTTCATACTTTATTTTTTCACTTTGATCGGTAAATAACTAATCAATAACTGATCAATGAGAGTGACAGTCCTCGTGCTCTTATTTTAAAAGTAAACGGTTGTTTCTCTCCAGGAGGACATCTGCTTCTGATTGGACGGATGGACGTCCTTTCAGACTGTCTCGCTGATCAGCTGACCTGGACTCAGGTGTGTTTCTACCTGCAGACGAGGAACGCAGAACTGTAGCTCGGTCATAGTTACAGTACTCGACTTGTTTAGTAATCTCTTTCATTGTTTGTCTCACAGTCAGGTAACAGCCTCAGTTAAGCCCCACCCAGCACCCACCTCCCCCTCACGTCAGGTGAAGACAACAGTCAGCGAGATGAGCCTGTTGAAGGAGGTGGAGCCAGGACAGGAAATGGAGGGAAAGGTGAGTCTACCCATCATGCATCCCTGCGGTGTCGCAGAGAGAGAGAAAAGATTTATTTAGTGAAAACATTTCGAATAAAGTTTGGAGAGATCGAACAAAGACCGCGATGTGTTCGGGGAGACTTACCTGTTGCTGTGCTGCATTCAGGTGCAGACCTGGGCTCAGTCTCTGGTGTACACGCTGGAGGAACTCGAGTGTAAAATCTGCTATAACCGCTACGACACGCGCAGCCGGAAGCCCAAACTGCTGGGCTGTCTGCACCGAGTCTGCGCCAAGTGTCTGAAGAAGATGGTCGACATGGGTGAGTTCACCTGGCAGGTAGACACACAGCACAGTCAGCTGCTGGATCACGCAGATGCCAGCATGATCGTTACCTGGTCACATCACCTGTTGTATCATGTGATTCCAGGAGAGTCTTCGCCGTCCATAATCAGCTGCCCATTCTGCCGCCACGAGACGTATGTCCCCGACGAAGAGGTGTGGCCTCATTTCCTCCTCTTCGATGGTCAGAGTCTGACAACCTGAACTCACGCTGTCTCCTCCCCCTCTTCCTCAGGTGTGGCTGATGGAGGACGACCGGCACATCCTGGCGGTCCTGTCGTGTCAGGATCGTGCTCGGCGAGGAGGTGGAGCAGGAAGTGGCAGCGGTGGGGAGGTAGTGCTAAGTCCCAGCAGTCTGACAGGTAAAAACCTGAGAGTTAGAACGAGATAGTCAGCCAATCACAGCCAGCCGGTAGATTTATCCAATCAGGAATCTCCACGATAAAGTGACCTGTTTGAGGTGATTGAGCGGTATCCTTTATTGGACACCTTAGATATTGATATTGATTACTGGTTGGTGTATCCATAGTTTTCACATGACGTCAGTGCTCAGGAGACACGCCCACCTGGAGGGTAAAAACAGTACTTTGCTCTCCAGCCTTCCTTAAAAAGGAAAATAACATAGTGTCTGGAATTTCTCTTGGTAAAGCTCTGCGTCTGTTCCCAGGGGGCGGAGCTGCAGGCAGCGGCGAGGAAGCATCCCACCGCTCCTCGGACTGTCTCGTCATCACCATCATGGAGCTCCCAGAGGAGTCGCCATCCTCAGATTCACTGAGCATGCTCAATGTAGTGGGTCTGTACCATGCTCCCAGTCTGGACTCGCTACCCTGCAACCTCCCAGGTCAGAAATGCCGTGCCTGGACATCCCGCAGCTTCCCACGCTGCCTGCTGGGGGTACTCTGCCTGGTAAGTACCAGTTTAACCAGTTTGAACATAACTATCTAAATCAGAACCAGTGTAACTGGTGTGTGCGGCTACTCCCCCTGTGTGTGCAGGTGTACTTTAGCTCGCTGCCGTTGGGGATCTACCTGCTGATGATTGGTCAGCTATGGCTGGGCGTGGTCCTCGTCAGTCTCGTCCCGTCCACGCTGCTGCTGCTCGTCCTTTACGGCTTCTGTCAGTGTCTCTGCCACGAGCTAATGGAGGCGCTTGCTGCCCGCACGCACTCGCTACCGTGACAACAAAATGTAGCCATAGAAAAGCCTGTAGACTGAGCCATCACACTCTGATATCACTCTGACCCTGCCCTTTGTGAATACCAGCAAGTCCCCCTCACACATCCCCTTGGTGGAAATACGGCCAATCAGTGTTGAATTACGTGATGACATCATCACGTATAGGAAGTGGAGACAGTCCTCTCCAGTCAGAAGACATCTGCTGACTAATCAGAGACATGTTACTGTCCTGGGCACGATCATAAAACTGTTTTACCTGCTGATTACAGAACACACCTGTACCTGTATCACCTGTTTATCCCACAGTCACATGACCTGACAGGCTGTTAGCCTAGCTTAGCACTTACACTAATCACAGAGGGAAAGTGCTAGCCTAGCTTAGCATGTGTATTTAGCTTTGAAGCTGTGCTTATTCTAAGCTATGCTAACAGTCCCGATGTCCTGTCTGTAAAATGATTCATGAACCCTGTGATGATGATGAGTGTCACTTCCTGTCCGTGTAGTGGGCGGAGCCTTTGGAGAATCAGCTGTTTAGTTTTGTGATGAAATAAATAAACATAAGTGACATGAAGTGTTTGAATCATTTCCTGCTGCGAGTTCCTCTCAGGTGAAAGGTTGTCACATGAGTGACATCTTTGGGACCTGTGGGTGGAGTCCCAGGAGCATTTGGGCATCAGCTGGTCGCTGCGTGTTAATTAAAAACACGCCATCCTCAGAGAGAAGAGCAAGAGTGTTTATAGAAACCTGGCAAGAGCTGCTCTCCACCACAGAGGAAGAAGCTGCAGCAGGTACAACTTCTTTCATACAGGTGTTCTATAAAGGCACATCCACAGGTGGGTCATACAGGTGATTTTACATTTACTTGTCTAAGCATCACCCAGATTTAGATATTAAGTTTTAGATGTTTGAACAGCACCTGTCCTACCTCTCTCCTCCCTCCAGGCGGTCGACATCATGAGTCGTTGGCGTCGTTCAGTGGACGAGCTGGCGGCACGGCGGCGACAGCATGAATGTGAGCGCGCTCAGGATGCACTCAGTCGGGTCACTTCATGTTTCCAGCAGCTGGTTGCGTTGGTCGGTAGCTCAGCCGACGGCAGCTTCCTGCGAGATGAGTTGGATGAAACGAGAGCTGTGGCTCACCGGATCTGCAGTGGTAACACCTGTCTGTGGTTCACCTGTCCTTCTCACCTGTGTGTTTCTCGCTGTCTCACGTGTTCACCTGACTCTCATTGCTCCATCTCCCTTATGTGTCTTCAGGGCTGTCCTGCCGGCTGCTGCGCTCGCTTTCAAACTCTGACTTTGCCCCCTCAGGTGTGCAGGACAGGCAGGTTTTGGAGCGTCTGTGGGTTCTCTTCCTGTCAGCATTGGAGCACTTCCTGTATGACCTGCGTAAGGCCTGTGACCTAATTGGGCAGTTCCCCCTGACTGAGCACAGCAACAGGCGCTCGCTGGTCAACACAGGTCAGCTGATTTTAGTTCTGATGTGAGATTGGCTAACTTTGTGTAAAAGATGTCTGTTGTGGCCGAGTCGTGAACCGGTAAATCACCTGCAAGTGTTTTTGCTTGAATGTCTAAATCGAGGAGTACTCGAGTAGGTTTAAGAACAAGTTTTTATTGCAAATTCAAATTGTTCAGTCCAATGAATAGCTTGAAAAGGTACAAAGGTAAGCGGTGAACTGCCAGAGGTTAAAGGTAAGGTTAGCTAAAACTGAAAAAATAATGCACATTTCAGAATTATACATAAAGGCCTTTTTCAAGGAAACACACAACGTGTTAAAAGTTTAAAGCTGTTCTGCAGCAATGGAGGCTGGTCGAGCCTTGAAAGCTGGTGCTACTAATTCCTACAGGTGTTCCCACTTTCCTGGATTACTTCCCCCTCTGCATAAAAGCAGTGTTGGAACACACTGATGTACCCTCGTGAGCATCAGCTGAACAGTAGTGTGTTGGTACAAAAATGGGGAGAAAAAGGCGATTAACAATGGAAGAGAGACAGAGCATCATAACACTTATAAATGTTTGTCTTTCCAAACTGTGACAGGAAGAGGTCTGCAGACCCAAAGACACAACTGAACCAGAAGTTTCTGAGAGTTAACAGCTTGATAGGCGGCTCACAGGACAACAGCTTCAAGTACAGAGTAATAGTGGTCGTAGTGAGCAAGTCTCAGTTTTCCCTCACCTCAGTCTCAAACTGTAGACTTATTTCTTACTCTTCCTATATTTATTGTTTTTCTTTTGCACTGAATGGAACTGGAGCCTCGTTCTCTCGTCTCTCTGTGTACTTATATAGCAGAGATGACAATGAAGAGAAGACTTCGAGCTGCAGGTTTGACAGGACATCACTAAGACGTCAGAATAAGACAGAGGTTTGGCTGTGCCATGAAACACCGCCATTGTAATACTGCAGACTGGAGGAAGGTTTTATGGACTGATGAGTCATCACGCAGGATCTTTGTACGCTGCCGAGTAGGTAAAGGATGGGTCCACAGTGTGTGGCATCAACTGTCACACATGGAGGAGGACGTGTGATGGTCTGGGGCTGTTTGCTGATCCAGAGTCGGTGACTCGTACAGAGTGAGAGGCTCCCTGAACTAGAACAGCTGCCACAGCATTGTGCAGCACCATGCAGGACCCTCTGGCATGCACCTAGTTGGTCAGGGGTTCATCCTACAGCAAGATAATGACCCATAGCAAAAGTGCCAGAACTACCTCAGGAACAAAGAACAAGATGGTGAGCTTGGAAACATGGAGTGTGCAGCACAGTCTGCAGACTTAAACCCCATCGAGCTGGTTTGAACTGGACAGAAGAGCGAAAGCAAAGCAACCTACAACGTCCACATTTATGGGAACTTCTGCTACAGATATGGGAGAATATTTGATTTCTATTGTATTCCATTGCCAAAGGAGGCTACTGACGAGTCAAAGTTTACAATACACTTTGGTCTATAAACTGATTCCATTATTTATTCATTTACTTTTTACTCCAATTGCTTATTTGTGCTGCGCTTTCACTTCAGAGTGCAATGAGACATCAAACATTTTTAATGAAAAACTGGAGAAACTTTTAGCTTGTAGTGCATGTGTAACCTGCGCTTTCTTGTCCAATGTAGGAACGTTACCATGGAGACCTCAGGGTTTTTTATAGGCTAGCGCATGTCACAGAGGTTATTTTTCTGCTATAACCGAAAGCTTACCTAATGCTGGGCATACACTGCGATTTTTGTCCCATTTTGGCCGGAGTGTCGCCTTAATCGTGTGTCGTGCGTCGTGTAGTATACATAAGGTAACGAGAAGCGATTAACACACAATCATCAATCATATGGTTGCAAGAAAATCAAACCTGTTTGAAATCCTGTCGCCCCTCGTGAGGGCGTCACTGCAGCCTCTGCGCACGCGCAAACACAGAAATGAAAGTGAAAAGACGGAGCAGCAGTGCAGCGTGTGATCTGGACACAAGCGATGGAGGTACAACTTGTAGAACTTTGGCTCATCTGAGCCTTTTCGATCTATCACGACCACACCAACCGTGAAAAGAGTTGGATGGAGATCGCTGCTCAATCACAGCTGCCTGATCAATGTTTTTCATTAGCAATTTAGCAAAGTTGATGGTGGTGTGTGTGTGAGTGAAAGACAGAGAGTGAGATTTTGTGTTATAAGCCGACGCACAGTGACTGGCAGTGTTGAACCATGACAAGCATTAGTTTTGATTGTCCAGGAACAACACCAGCACGGGGACATCAGATTTTGCTCTTATCGATCCGTTACTGACCCGTTATCGACCTCTTACTGATCTACTTTATGTCTGCGAGGTCATAAATTCCAGGACCTCAGTCACCAAGAAGCTGAACTTACCTGAGGAAGTGTTTTTCTCATCCACCTGACCATCTCTTTCTCACCTGTCCTTCTGAATTTATAGGATGTGTTGATGGGGTGGTGGGCGTGGCAGCTCGGGTGGCCTCAGTCCAGTTGCCATGGCTCACCTCGGAGGTGGAACCAAGCCCAGATCTGACCAATCACATCACAGGACTGGAAACTATGATGAGCGAGATGCAACAGAGGGTGAGGGGAAGCATATGGAACACTTCCTGTTGGACTGTGAGGTTTAACTGTTGCAGAGTCACCTGTCTGCTCTTTAGTTTGCTTTATAAACGGCTGAATTCTGTGCCGCTGCTTTATTTTTTGTTCTGAGTGTCTCACCGTTGCTCTGCAGGTTCCCGTGGCGTTCTGGTCGGTGGAGGCGACCCAGCCGGCGTGGGCTGAAGCCCGCAGTGAGCCAGATGACCTGGTGGAGAGCCTGGAGGACCTAATGGAGGTTGAGGTCATTGCCGGTTCCAAGAAGACTGCATGCTGTGGGCTGGGCTGCGTCGGGTAGATGTAGATTTAAGTGTTTCCATTAAAATGGGAGAATCGTGTTTTAGAGGAAACAGAAGAAAACCTGGGTTCATTTGTCATTGTGATGTTTAAACAATCAATATTAAATAAGTCTAAATAAAGCTGGCAGATCAATATCTGCAGTGATTAATGATTAACATGTCACAGAAGAAAAATGCCACTGAATGGTTGAACTTTCCTTTAGGAGGTGACAGACAGGTACATACTGAGATAAAATACACAATGCATGGATTCACCTGCAGCATAACTAAGGGAGGATTCAGGGTCACCTGGTCCAGCCCTAACTATATGCTTTAGCAAAAAGGAAAGTTTGAAGCCTAATCTTAAAAGTAGAGATAGTGTCTGTCTCCTGAATCCAAACTGGAAGCTGGTTCCACAGAAGAGGGGCCTGAAAACTGAAGGCTCTGCCTCCCATTCTACTTTTAAATACTCTAGGAACAACAAGTAGGCCTGCAGAGCGAGAGCCAAGTGCTCTAATAGGGTGATATGGTACTACAAGGTCATTAAGATAAGATGGGGCCTGATTATTTAAGACCTTGTATGTGAGGAGCAGGATTTTGAATTCTGGATTTAACAGGAAGCCAAAACAGGAGAAATCTGCTCTCTCTTTCTAGTCCCTGTCAGGACTCTTGCTGCAGCATTTTGGATCAGCTGAAGGCTTTTCAGGGAGTTTTTAGGACTTCCTGATAATAATGAATTACAGTCGTCCAGCCTGGAAGTAATAAATGCATGAACTAGTTTTTCAGCGTCACTGAGACAGGATATTTCTAACTTTAGAGATGTTGCACAAATGGAAGAAAGCAGTCTTACATATTTGTTTAATATGTGCGTTGAAGGCCATGTCCTGGTCAAACATGACTCCAAGGTTCCTCACAGTGTTACTGGAGGCCAAGGTAATGCCATCCAGAGTAAGAATCTGCTTAGATACCATATTTCTAAGCTTTTCAGGGCCGAGTACAATAACCTCAGTTTGATCTGAACTAAGCAGAAAGTTAGCGGCCATCCAGGTCTTTATGTCTTTAAGACATTCCTGCAGTTTAATTTCCATTGTCAATATTATTCAATGAAATTAAGGGCAGTGTCAATAAAAACACACTGAGACTGAGCTGTGATGTCATCAAGTACTGCCTTTCCAATCAAAGGATTAATTCACTTGCGCTCAGGTGAACTATAAAGTGTACTTGAGTATTGATGTCATGATGCAGCAGCAAAGAAAAAAAAAAAAGGAAAAAAAAAGACCCCACCCAAGGCTCCTCCTTTTCCTCCTAGTCT